GTCGTCTCTAGGTGCTGATCCACCATCTGGGCTGGATACGGACTGGATCTGGTGGCTACGGTGACCTCGGAATACGAAAGAAACAGACTAATATTAGCACAGATGCCATTCTTCTTATGATGTAACAAGTACATCGTATGTTATTGGAAGTGTTCCCAGTTCCGGTTGACCTAATTAATGCAGCCTAACAATACTTTAACGGATCAAAAGAATGTTGTGGTTGATAGTGTCGAATGCAGCGCTAAGATCCAGTAGTACTAATAGCGAGATACAACCATGATCAGATGACAAGAGTAGGTAATTTTAAATCCTCACAGATATAATTTTTCTCTAAGAAGGAATATAATTGTGAGGATACTACCTTTTCTAGTATCTTTGACAGAAAAGGAAGATTCGAGATCGATCTGTAATTAACTAGATCTTTGGGGTCAAGTTGTGTTTTTTTTTTAATGAGAGGCTTAATAACAGCCAGTTTGAAGGTTTTGGGGACATATCCTAATGACAAAGACGAATTAATAATAGTCAGAAGATGATCTATCACTTCTGGAAGCACCTCTTTTAGGAGCTTAGATGGAATAGGGTCTAGCATGCATGTTTTTGTTTTAGATGATTTAACAAGTTTATAAAATTCTTCCTCTCCTATAATAGAGAATGAGTGGAATTGTTCCTCAGGGGATCTATAGTGCACTGTCTGATGCGATACTGTAGCTGACGGCTGCATGGTTACAATTTTATCTCTAATAGTATCGAACTTGGAATTAAAGTAGTTCATACAGTAAAGTCATTACTGCTGTGCTGCTTGGAAATGTTAACGCTTGTCTGTGCTTTATTTTTTGTTAATTTAGCCACTGTATTGAATAAATACCTGGGGTTATGTTTGTTGTCTTCTAAAAGAGACGAAAAGTAATCAGATCTAGCAGTTTTTAATGCTTTTCTGAAGGATAGGGTACGTTCCCGCCAAGCAATACGAATCTGAGATGTCATCGCTTTGCTGCAGAATTTCAACACCGTTAAAATCAATTCCATGTGACAGTATTAAATCTAGAGTATGATGTCGACAATGAGTAGGACCTGACACGTGTTGTCTAACCCCAATAGAGCTCAGAATGTCTAGAAATGCTGATCCCAATGCATTTTTATCATTATCAACATGGATATTGACACTTGTTTCTTTGGATAATGTTGTATGAAGCACCATTACTTCAAACGAGTTATGCTTGAAGCCCGCCCTCTGAGAAATACTGAAAATATTGTTGAAGCAACACCTCCCCCTTTACCTTTTGGACACGGCTCATGTTTATAACAGTAATCTTGTGGGGTAGACTCGTTTAAAATAATGTAATTATCTGGTTTTAGCCAGGTTTCTGTCAAACAGAGTACATCTAGGTAATGATCAGTGATCATATCATTTACAAAAAGTGCTTTCGTAGAAAGGGTCCTGATATTCAATAAGCCAAGCTTTATAATTTGTTTCTCTGTATTATATACATTTTTTTATTTGTTGAACATCAATTAAATTGTTACTCTTAAATTGGTTTGAACGTTTTTCGTATTTTCTAGTTCGGGGAACAGACACAGTCTCTATATTGTGATATCTGTGTGAAAGAGTCTCTATGTGCTGAGAATTAACTGACTTCTGTGACGTGAGGCGGCTAGCAGACGGTCGGTTTAGCCAGTCTGTCTGCTTCCTGACCTAAAGTGCAAACTCTAAGACTAGATGTGCCGTATTTCTAGAGAGAAGAGCGGCACCACCCAAGGAGAGATGAAGACCATCTCTTTTCAACCGGTCAGGTCTGCCCAAAAACTTGTCCATTTGTCTATAAAACCTATGTTATTCTGCGGGCACCACTTAGACATCCAGCCATTGAGTGACAACAGTCTGCTATGTACAGTACAGGAAAGTGATGATGCAAATGAAGAATGGAAAATTAAATGTTTCATATTCAAATTGCATTTTATAATTGTCTGATTTTGTAATTTCATTTCAATTTCATTCATTTTGCATTTTGTCATTTCTCTTTTCATAACATGGCTTAATAAGGATTATCTGTCTTTTGGTGCCTGGCATTTGTACTGTGTTGACTGCAGGAAGTTCACTAGGTCAAAGACTTGTTTATTCTCATGGAAACGTTAATGAGGACAAGGGGTGTCAACTACAAGACTGAGAAGGTATATATGATTATAACTTCACACGACCAATGAGAACTTGTTTCGTAGTTTGGACAATTTGCATACATGATGTAATGAAGTTTTTTCAGTTTTTATACCATATTCTGCTTTTGTCCTCAGGATGGACACTGCTCTAATGCCAGCTCTCAAGATGTTTGCTCTGCGTGCATATATTCTTATGTCTTGCATATCATGTAAGTAATCTATACATATACATATTATCATTTATTTATTTATTTTTAGAAATATTTTAAAATGTTTTAAATATGTTTTATTACAAATTATATTAACATATGAGTTTAAAAGTTTGAGTTTAAAAGTTTAATAAAATAATACATATGCATTTCTAAATATCTGGTACTTTTTTTGCATTAATGGTAGCAGCACTCGAGCTGATGGTCGTGTTTTCAAGCATAATTTCATAATGATCCAAAGAGCGTTATGTGCTTCGGCAGGAGACATCTGAGTGTCTCTACAAAAGAGTTCACACGATCAATGTCACAAATGTGCTTTTTTGATTAGTGTCAATAACCATGAAAAATACTTAATTTTACATCATAAAAAAATTAATTATTATTTTTTAAATTTTCACTTAAAATTCCAAATCATTGTTTACTAGTTTAATTTACATTAAACTTATATTTAAAAAAAATCCCAAATGTTCATTATGCCTCAGACGTTTGGACTCCACTACTTATGCATAGAAAAAATTATGTAAAATGATTGACTTCCCTGGACTCATCAGGACTTTTCTTTGTTTATTTCAGGTGTATCTATGATCCCCAGTGTTTTGCAGCCAAATGTCTCAATCACAGCATCAGTGGGTGGTTCGGTCATGCTGGAATGCCACACAACTGCCGATCTGGTTGTGGCCTGGTTTTGGCTGAAACAAATCCCAGGACAAAAGTTGAACCCTATAGTTTCCACATATTACCAGGAGATAAAACTTCAAGAAGAATTTCTCAACGAATCAAGAATTCAATTCAAAGTCGATGACAAGAAATCTGCATTAATATTCACCAAGATTAACTCCAGAGATGCCGCCTATTACCATTGTGGTGTGCTACTGTATGAGAAGCTGTATTTTGGAGGGGGAACTTATCTGACAGTTAATGGTGAGTGGAAACTTGGAATGTGAGATCTGTGATATTTAATTTTGATTAAAAAGCTTGTTTTATTATTATTGCTACTGTAAAGTATATTATTTTTCATTACAGATGCAAAGCCAGTTAAAATCATTCAGCATCCTGTTTTGGACTCACATCATGTAGGAGACTCAGTGAATCTTCATTGTTCAATCTTTGGTGAGAGTTGTTCAGGAGGGCAGAGTGTCTACTGGCTTAGAAGAGAGTCCCATTCAGGAATCATTTACACTGATGGAGACAGAAAAGATCAATGTGAGACGATCTCTGTGACTGGATCAACTGTACAGAGCTGTGTGCACAAAGTCCCCAAAAGCCTGGCCAGTGATGAAACTTACTTTTGCAGTGTGGTCACATGTGGAAAGCTAATCGTTGGAAATGGAACTAAACTGATAGCTGATGGTAAAGCATGCTTTATTGCTCACATACCTATTTATTCGTAATATCCTTTTCATATTCTGGCAATATATTTCCTAAATCAGTACTTAGATTTCAGGAACTTCCAAAATTAGGAAAAAAAAAAAAAAAGTTATTATTTCCATTTGGATTGTTTATATTTAGATTATAAAATTAAACCATTTTTCCCAGTTGTTCCCCAGAAAACAATGGCCTATATCATCACACTGCTCTCTGCTGTATTAGTGATATCAGTGATGGCGAATATAATCATGGTATTGTTATGGAGAAGAACTACACACAGAGGTACATTTTTATTCAACTTAAAAAATTATATTGTCTAAAAACATTTAACAAATATATAAATATTGCGATAATTAATTATATTATCAACACTTATCACCAAAATGAATTTATATATATATATATATATATATATACAGTGGGTACGGAAAGTATTCAGACCCCCTTCAATTTTTCACTCTTTGTTATATTGCAGCCATTTGCTAAAACCCAAATCCAGGTGTGAAAAACTTGTTGCATCTTTCCCAAAAAGACTCATGGCTGTATTAGATCAAAAGGGTGCTTCTACTAAATACTGAGCAAAGGGTCTGAATACTTAGGACCATGTGATATTTCAGTTTTTCTTTTTTAATAAATCTGCAAAAATGTCAACGATTCTGTGTTTTTCTGTCAATATGGGGTGCTGTGTGTACATTAATGAGGAAAAAAATTAACTTAAATGATTTTAGCAAATGGCTGCAATATAACAAAGAGTGAAAAATTGAAGGGGGTCTGAATACTTTCCGTACCCACTGTATATATATACAGTGCTGCTTGAAAGTTTGTGAAACCTTTAGAATATTTCTGCATAAATATGACCCAAAATATCCTCTGCTCAACGACTTGTGTGCTTGGGGTCGTTGTCATTAGCCAATGTGAGAAAGGCCTTTAGTTGCTTAGAAGATACTCTGGGGTCCTTTGCAACCTCGCGGACTATTATACATCTCTTGTTTTGGAGTGTTCTTTGTTGGTCGACCACTCCTGGGGAGGGTAACAATGGTCTTGAATTTCCTCCATTTGTACACAATCTATCTGGCTGTGGATTTGTGGAGTCCAAACTCTTTAGAGATGATTTTGTTCATTTTCCAGCCTGATGAGCAACAACAACTCTTTTTCTGAGGTCCTCAGAGATCTGCTTTGTTCACGCCATGAAACACTTACACAAACATGATCAGACTTTGATAGATCCATGTTCTTTGAATAAAACAGGTCACACACTGACACCTGATAGTCATCCCACTGATTTAAAACACCTCTGAACAGATGGACTCTAATTTCGCCTTCAAATTAACTGCCAATCCTAGAGATTCACATAATAGTGTTGCCACTCAGAGATATATAATATTGGTTCAGTTTCCAGAAAAAAATACATGACAAAGTATACATTTTTGTCTCAATTGTTTGATTTGGGTTCTATTTGTCAACTTTCAGGATTTGCGTGAAAATCTGATCATCTTTTGGGTCATATTAATGCAGAAATATAGAAAATTCTTAAGGTTTCACAAACTTTCAAGCAGCACTGTATATTCACTTTTATCATTTCTTTTTATGATACATTTTTAAGGTGTTGACCATGTACAGTCTACAGCCCAGGTAAGCTTTATACTTTTACATTATATGTAGCTATGGTGGGAAAGTGCATTAACTTCGCCTGTCAAATAAGAATTATGAACATTAATCATTTAAGATATTTATAAACCATTCAGAATATTATATATAACAGTACTAGGACTGAGTATTGTTAAAATGATATAATTCTCCTATTAGACTGCAGACATAGAAAATTATGCATCGCTGAAGTTCTCTCCACACCAGCCTACACGAAAAATGAAAAGCCGTGAAGAGGCAACCTCTGTCGTCTATGCATCTGTCCATCAAACAAGAAGCATAAAACAAGGATCTCCTCATTCTTAATGGTTGTCATTTTTTAAGTGTGAATAATATTGACTTTGGAGAAAGGTGCTTTTTGTCAGCAAAATTTTTAAAAGAATGTCACATCATGTGGTCTCATATGAGCATTGGAGCATTCAGCTGCAAGACATTGTCCTCCAATTTTAAAAAAATGTTTTTTTTTTAATTGTATTTTGATCTCAGTGTGGTTTAAAGTTGACAAAGGGATGAGGGACAAATGTCTGTCTTTTGTAGATTTTTTTATGTTGTTGTAAAGGGTAATCGGAGTGTGCGGTCATCATGTTATTCAATGTCTAAATTTTACACATTAAAAAAATGTGTGTTTACAATAACTTACCATTAAATTCAGCACCATGGAGAGGGGCAACATTTAGCAATTGAGGAAAAAAAAATCTTTCAGTCCAAACAGCTTGCCATCAAAAAAACTAAAACAACAACAACAACAAAAAACTTATTTAAAACAAACCAACAGTGACCCAAATATGGAAAAAGATATAGTAGATGTAGTATATATGTACTAGTTTGTAGTATGTATGCAGCATTATACTGAAATGTACTACTAGTCACCTCCAGGTGATGGCAGTCAGATGTCATTAGTGCACATAAACACAGATTTACAGATAATACTCTTTATTCACTATAGTAATAGCATACAATAGCTTCCATTTGTGAACTTATAATCTTTATACAACGCTCCTTCAAATGATTGTTTTCTTCTTCATTTTCTAGACTGCTCTGATGTTTTAGTATCATCATACCATGCACTTGTCCCACAATGTTTCAGTCATTTTATATTATAGTTCACATATCATAAAATATTGTAACATACTTATTGAGATTTTTGCATGGCCTCACCCTAAGCATTTCAATGAACTCTAAATCTCATTCATTTGGCCTGCTGGCAAGATTAGATGTCTACTAGTTGCAGCTGTTTACATACTATACTTAGCAGCTTACTTCAGGAAGCGGGCAGTAATTTGTGCATGCAGAGAACCAATAGAGTCACATGATGAAGTCATACCTCAGAGAGCAAATTGATTCATAGACTCAGAACCGCATGTAGACAGAAGTGCAGAAGACCCAGGAAGAAGATAAAATGAATAATAACATCTACATGATACTCTTTATTTTTCTTCATGAAGTCTGTAAGTACAAAATAATGCATCATTCAATCATTCTTCTACTAATCAGCTACATGTCATCTTTGAAAACTATGATAATAATTTTTCCAACAGGTGAACACAATTGCAATGTTGCTCATGTGGATCAGGTTTTAACCGTAAAAGAGGGAGGGAATATATTGTTACCTTGTCTTATTGTAAATGATCAGTTACACCGAGCACTGTGGTATAAACAGGTTCTTGGTCAATTGCAATGTTGCTCATGTGGATCAGGTTTTAACCGTAAAAGAGGGAGGGAATGTATTGTTACCTTGTCTTATTGTAAATGATCAGTTACACCGAGCACTGTGGTATAAACAGGTTCTTGGAGAGAAACCTGTCCTAATAGTGTCATCATATCACCACTCTCAACCGAATGAATTTTCTCCTGACTTTGAAGCAAGTCAACGTTTCCATGCAGTGCGAAAGGATGATAGTTTTAACTTAACCATCCTGAGAACCTTGAAATCTGATTCAGGCACGTATTTCTGTGGTGCTGCCTTTGCTAATGTTATTTCCTTCAGCACTGGAACTGTTTTGCTGGTTAAAGGTGAGTGTTATAATATTTATACTTTTGATGGGCAATTCCATTTATTGTCAATGTTAATTCTTTTTTTTTTCCTTATAGGTGCAGACCTCAAACCTGCTGTTATTCAACAGCCTGTGCTTGGTGTTATGAAGCCAGGAAGCAATGTGACTCTGCAGTGCTCAGTAGAAGTGAAGATGTGTGAGAAAGGAGTACAACTAGTCTACTGGTACAGACGCAGTTCAGACACAATGCATCCAGGAATGGTTTATACTCATGGAGACATGAACAATGAGTGTGGGAAGAACTCTGCAGCCTCCTCTCCTATGCAGAGCTGTCTGTACAACCTCCCCAAGATGAATGTTGGTCTCTCTGATGCTGGACTATACTACTGCGCTGTGGTAACTTGTGATGAAGTTTTATTTGGAAATGGCACAACATTGGTCATTGAAGGTAAATGCATTATGTTTGAGTAGTAGGCCTATTATTTGTTAACAGACACATTTTTATCCAGAGTGACTTACAAAGTAGAAATATCGCAAGCAGTTTACTATATGAGAAATATCCATAATACCAAGTTTTAAAGATAAGATAGATTAGTCCAAATGCTTTTTGTTATTATTATTATTATTATTATTATTGTGTCTTTGTTTGTTGAACTTTCTGTATTCAAATGCGTGACACTTCTGGTTTAGAAACTTCTACTACTACTACTACTACAACTACTAATATATGTATATATAGTATACAAAGTTTCTTAATCTTAAGAAACTTTAGCATTTTAGCTTTAAATCCAAATAGATTTTAAATTGGCCAATACAATCAAATAAACATCAAACATAAATGTCATGCCCTTTATAATCATATCCATGCAGGACTATAATTTACAATTTAATTCAACATGCAATAAGTTATGTACAGTAGTATGTGTAGTACTGTATGTGTTTGAACAGTGACAAATAGTGGCTAATAAACTTAATTTTACAAAATATTTTTGAACCCACTCTCTAAATTCATAAAGTTGCACAATGTTTCTTGTGTTTCAGATGAATTTAATAGTGAGAGGATGCAACATTTTATTTTAATTGGCCTTGCAGTGCTGTGTACAGTCAGTTTTACCATCAATATTTTGCTCTGTATACCATTAAGAAGAAAAGGTAAGACCACGTTTCTTCTTAATTTTTGCAATCTTTCAGTTTAAGCACTATTATTATTATTATTATTATTGTTGTTGTTGTTATTGTTATTATTATTATTATTATTATTATCATCATCCAAAACCTAATCCTGGAAAGAACATTTATGTGATAGAAAATGCAATACTGTGTTCAAACAAACAGAACAGTGTAACTCTTCTCATAATGCTTTATTTGACTTTTAACAGATAGAACGCCTCAACAAATCCAGACTACCAATGGCGATACAACAAGAGTTCAGGTTTGGACAATCAGATGTGTAAATAACAGTTAACTCTCGTAACTTAATATAGAGTGCTGAAAAAAAAATGAAGAGTCTCCTAATTCTTTCTTCTAGTACCGCAACACAGATGACATTAACTATGCTGCTCTGAACCTTTCCACTAAAAGAGGTCAGAGGAAAAGGACCTTAGAGGAGACAACGTACTCTGTACCGACATTGCGAGACAAGATCTGAAACTTATAGCTGCTGATTGTTTAAACGTACCATAATATTTAACATAATATCCAACTCCAGGAGTGCATTAGTAATATTCCATATTTGTGTCTCTAATGATAGAAACTGCCTATGCATGTCTGTGCTTATCCTGCATCGTGTTTTTTTTCAAGAAACATGCTGTGAGTGTTAACATTAACACTTCTGGGAGATGACGTGCAAAATTATATAAAAGCATAACCACATCCTGTAAAGGTGTAACTAGATGTGAAAGTACTGTGTTCATCAGCTTGAATAAACCTCGCAACTAATTAGATTTAGTTCAGCCTTCTAATTCGGTTATTCATCTCTAACACAATATGGTTACTTCCTCTATGACAGAGCATGCCATGTTGAATAGTGTTTCCCATAATGCAATGCACTCGATTTGACCTTCCATTTCCAGTGTTAGGAATGTAATAGAAAAAATATCAAACATAATATTTGAACATATACTTCTTTAATCATTATTTGATCAGACAGACAAGAATTAAATTCAACAGAATGTGTTTTTAGTGAAACAGGATATTCAATGTGGGGAAAAAAGCAGGCCGGGACTTGATTTCACAGATTGTGAAAAATGGTAGAAAAGTGGTAGAAAAGTGTAGGTTTTTAGTTGGAGGGAAAGACTTGAAAAATAAGAGATTGGTGATGCTGAAATAAGGTAAGGTTTAATTATTTATTTTTTTCGGAATACCGTGCACTGATGAATCGTGCATTAAAAATGGTCAGTTTTGATTCATGTTGACTGGATGTTTTAACAAAATTTTGAAGTTAACAAGAGTTTTCAATTTCCAAGATGACAACTGGATGCCATTTGCAGAAACATGCAATATGATGAGGTCATGTGACAACAATGTAGCATACTACTATTATAAGCTACCAGGTGATGGCAGTGAGGGATCACAAATAGAGAAAAGCACATAGATATTTTTATCTTGATTTCCAACATATTATGCTTATGTAAAATCACTTACACAATATTCTTTCATCATTCATCATGCAAATGCTTTTATTTAAAGATTTACCATAGCAACACTTCATTTGCATTCATTTGAATATTTGAACACACCTGTTTTATGTTCATTCCTTTTACAATATAAATATAATTTCTTTCAGGGTTTAAAATCATGGGCTTGTATTCCAAATCTTGAAAAAAATGTTAAGCAGTTTCCACTAAGAAATTCCAAGTGGATCTTTTTTTGTTGTTTGTTGCACCACCACTGAATATGTATCAATATCAGTTATGCATGTGCTGTAAAGTGTGATATTTTCATCAAAATATTTTTTAGGTTAAACTGAGTTTGTGTTTGTGTGTGTGTGTGTGTGTGTGTGAGTGTGAGTTCACATATGTCAGCTATTGGCACTACTCTGACATATACTATAAAGAGGGATATTCCTTTGTCTGATGTAGAAACTTATCAGTGTATTGAGTTTAAACAATGCTAGTTATTTTAAATGTGTGTAACTTAATTTATACTCTGTTTAAATCCTGATTGAGGCTATGCATCAGAATAGATACTTTACAAATCATTAAAGATTATATGATAATGTACCACATCTGTTAGAAGCACAAGTTAAACAAGGAAATGGGCAATGACTTGTTAGCTCAGAGAGCCAATGCAATGATGTGATGGTGCTTCCACTCAAAGCAGAGGAAAGGTTTCAGAGAATTTAAGGTTGAGCACTGAAGGTCATCTGAAAATGTATGTCATTCTTTTCATTGTATGGGTTCTCTTTTATAAACCATGTAAGTACAAAACTACAATAGTAATGGTTTCACAAGTTTTTCCTGAACCTTCTGTATTTTTCATTGTGTCGCTTATGTTTCAACAAATGTCTTCGCATTATTTTACAGCAATGCAATATTCTGAAAGTGTTCTGCAGATAGAAGATGTAGCAGTTCAAGTAGGTGATGATGTGACATTTCACTGCTTTCACCCAAAAGACCAACTGAATAGAGTTATGTGGTTCAAACAGACTCTGGGAGAGAAACCTGTTCTTGTAGCCTCTTCATATCACTGGACTCAAAAAAGTGTACTTTATGATGATTTTGAAAAGTCAAAACGCTTTAGAGTAGGTGCAGGAATTGGCAGCTTTAATTTGACTATTCAAAAAACGGCACAATCCGATTCAGCTACATATTATTGTGCTGTTTCTTTTTCTAATGTTGTCTACTTTGGAGCAGGAACTAATCTAGTGATTAGAGGTGAGTGATCAATATTTAGACTAACTCTTTATGAAATTAGTAATGTTTTACAGTCTCAAATTCATGATATTTCTTCAACAGGTTCTAAATCCAACAGGATTCATATTCTACAGCAGCCTACATCATCAGGTGGAAATGTGACTCTACTATGTACAATCCAAAACGAACAAGAGAGTTGTGGAGGTGATCACAAAGTCTACTGGTTCAGACACGGTTTAGGAAAATCCCATCCAGGAATCATTTACACTCAAGGAAGTTGTAAAAACAGCTCAATGGCTGTTTCTCCTACCAAGAGCTGTGTCTACAGTCTCTCTTTGAGAAACATCAAGCCCTCTGATGCTGGGACTTACTACTGTGCTGTGGTCACATGTACAGAAATTTTATTTGGACATGGAATTAATCTGGCTTCTGATGGTAAGTGTGTTAAATACAATTTATAACAAGTTGTGTACATCTTAAGCAGCCATTTTACGGTTGATGACGCAGTATTTTTAGTGAGCTTCTAGTGTATTGTACAATGCTAAGACAAAACCTTTTGACATCTAGCACTGTGTAGTATAACACACAGAGTACCTTAGTGTGCATAAAGTGTTTGAAACATGTTGTTCATCTGCAATATTGAATTTCTGTTGATGCAAAATTAATCGCATGCTTCTTTAATTGCATGCTGCATGTAGTTCCAGGACGCAGCATGTGGTGCATTCAAGTTATGTGTTACTTGTTTCAGATGAACATAAAGGCCAGCATATAAAGATCTTCATTCTAATTGGCCTTGCAGCACTGCTGACCGTAAGCTTCTTCAGTAATATTCTACTTTGCGTGAAAAAGATGAAAGGTAACAGCTCACTTTAATGTATTTATATATATAATACATCATATGAAATACATAAAGATATACATTAAGGTGAAAACATGCACTATTTTTTATTATTCAGAACTATTATGTAAGATTTATTATAAATAAATATTTAAATGTAATATAAATGTATTATTATAAATAATATATGAATAAAATTAACATAATTCCTTTTAACCTGCACGGGTAAATATCAATGCCATTTTAAAGTACTAAAAATCATCTAATATTTTATCTTATAACAGGCAACACATCTCAACACGTTCATGCTACAGACAATATAGTGTCAAGCGTACAGGTTTGTATTACATGGACAGATAAAATTATATTTTAAAAGTCAAGTATTTAGACAACTGTGGTTTAGATGATGTACATCACTTAATAGAAACGTTTATTAATATATATATATATTTTATTTTAGTACCACAGGACCTCCGATTTGAATTATGCCGCCTTAAAATTCAAAAGCCAAAGCTCAAGACAGCAGCGAGAGGAGAGACAAAGACCGACAGAGTACTCTGGACTGAAATGTAAAAACTCTCTATCGTAATACTGAATATGCATAGTTGCTAATATTGTTTGCTAACCAGAGTCACTTTGAATACCATATGATAAATCATAATGGATACTATGTTATGTTCTGAATAAATATGAAACTTGCATGTTTACAATTAGTCTCTTTATTCTGTAAATAACCACAGACAACTATCTCATGCTTACTGTGCTTTAATGTTGATGTTGTATGTGAATAAAGTGTTATTTGAGCAATATGCCATGTTTTCTTTCATAAAAACAGAAACAGACCCCCGTGCTCTTTGTATTTAATTTTCAGATACCACTGCAACATGATTAGTGATAAAAAAACACACAATTATGCTATTTTTATTTGTTTCGAATGTGAATGGTGACAGGATCCGATTTAACGTTTGATAAGATCTACACCACAAACCACAAGGTCACACCCCAGTTTACACAGTAGACACAGAAGACAGTCTTCTTACATTCGATGTGCATGAGGCTGTCTGTAGTAACTTTGGCCTATTTGACACCCACTCAGCCCCCTCTCTCCCTCCTCACTGTGTGGCACAAACTCTTCTCATGATTAAAGTCAGAGACAGAAGAAAACGTTACTCCCACCTGGAAAATCTCTTAATTTCATTAAAGTCCAGCCGAAAAGTAAGAGAAGATGAAATCTAATGGAAGGTGTTCAGGCTAAACACGTGAGTCAAACTAAAAGAGGGGCTGTGTGAGTGAATGACATCATATCCTGCTGAGTGAGTGACAGGAAAAACCTGCTTAGTGTAGAGTTAAAACTGCTGAGGTGAACATCAGCGGATCAGCTTTGTATCTTGTACTTGGATCAAAATACATCGATTTGTATCATAAATCTTGTAATCATTAATTATTTAGAGTACAATTATTTTACTTAATTGGTTATTTGTAATTTTTTACACATTGTATTACTGTATTTTGAATTTTAGATTGTTTGTTGGTAATATTTTTTTTATGTCTGTAATAGTAGTATATAGAGCTGCTGCTCAACACTATGCAGTAATGTTATTTTGTATTGTCCCTGTGAAATAAACACACACAAACACACATATGTTGGTTTTTATGATTTATGGGGACTCTACATAGACATGATGATTTTTATACTGTACAAACTGTATTTTCTATCCCCTTACCCTAACCCTACCCCTCACGCACACTTTCTGCATTTTTAAATTTTTAACAAAACATTGTTTAGTATGTTTTTAAAGCTATTTTAATTAGGAATACTCAAGAAATAGCGCATAAAACACATTCATGTTGTTATACCAGTGTAATACCCATGTCATTACACAAATCTGTGTCCACACACACACACACACACACACACACACACACACACAAAATAAATACAGTGAGAACATACAGTGTCATGAGGAAACACACACAATTCCCTTGCTTGTATGATGGATGCTTA